CATTTACACTGTTTTCAATATTTGTTAATTATTGTTTGTCATGTTATAGAATTTCTACATTTTACATATTAAATTACAATGCAAAATATATTACAAAAAGTGATTTTTTTTTCATTCATTTTTTCCGCACTTATAATGAAACACAACAAAGTTTTGATTGCATTTTAAAATTTACCATAACGAAACATTCATAAGACACAAATTAAGAGTACTTACTCGACAGGAGGTTTGGTGGGCAATGCATTTTCGTACCAGTCTGAGTAGTCGTAGTCATCTTTCACAGTTTCAGCACTCATGGTGCCAACCTACAGATGAAACAGAAGTTTCAATGAGCTCCAATAACTTAGACAGCAGCCGGAATCAGTCTTCCACACTCCTGTGAGACACAAAACGCCCTAATTGTTCGGTTCTTGTCCCAAAAGTCTCCTTCTCTCCTTCTTTCTCGCCCCTTGTTCAGGTGCCCTGTTACCACTGTGACTGAGAGCTGTGAGGAGCAATGTGACGGATCCCTTTCTGTAGCATGCCAACCCAAAACGTCTTTGCTTCAGCTTGGATCTCCTTTTCAGATGGGGGATTACCACCTCACTGGAAACCAGGAGAGAGAGAAAGAGGGGGTGTGAAAGCAATCCAGAGAGAAGTTTTCTCTCCTGCCACCTGTAGTTCAGAGGGATTAGGTGGACTTTCAAGGGCTGGTATTGAGAGTCTGAATGAGTCAAAACAGACTGGAACTGTGTGGGGGCCGAATGTTGACATATTCCACCGTGATAACAGGGAAATTCATGTGTGAGAGCGTTGTTCCAGTTATCAGGTGGAGATTCTCAATGGTGACTCAAAGCGTGAGGAATAAGGAAGTAATTTCCATGAACCACACACATGTATTGACACACAGGTGAGGAATCAAGTCAGACGCAGTACAGGTTACACTTTCTAAAGTGTTTTTATTTCGTTACGACTGCAGAATTTTATCTACAAGAGATAAAATGATTACAATAAGGTTTTCAAACTGATATTCTAACACAATCTCAAATAATTTTAATAGTGCTGTCAAACGATTAATCGCGATTAATCGCATCCAAAATAAAAGTTTTTGTTTACATTATATATGTATGTGTATTGTGTATATTTATTATGTATATATAAATACACACACACACATACAGTACATATTTTGAAAATATTTACGTTTATATTCATATTCTTATATTTTATATTATATATAAATATATTTAATATATAAAAATGTATTTAAATATACACAGTATACACACACATATTATGTACGCCACAGCCATATCACCCTACAGCCCAAGACTGGTTACCCACTGAAGCTAAGCAGGGTTGAGCCTGGTCAGTACCTGG